CATGTCTTCTTCTCTCTCCAACCATTAAATACGCAATTAATTTGTAAGTCTTTATTTTTCTCCATATTTCTCTCTCCAATTAGGATTTCATTCTCTCTCCAATTAAATATCATGCATTTAATTCAATTGCAGCTAAATTTGTTTCTCTTTCCAATTAAAAATCATGTATTCAATTCAATTACGGCTGGAAAAACTGCAAGGAAAAAGGAAAATCGAAAAAAAAATAACAAATTTGAAACCTAGAATTTAGGATTGGAAAGCACAAAAATTGTTCTATATATATGTTCGTATATTCTATACATATACATCAAATAAACATAAAAGGCAGTCCTCTAATATTAATCGTATAGTTATACATAAGATAAACAACATATAAACAACAATCAAATAAACATAATATGACATTTCTCTATTATTAATCGTATAGTTATACATAAGATAAACAATATATAAACATGTACAACAATCAAACAAACATAATATGACAGTTCTCTAATATTTATCGTATAGTTATACATAAGATAAACAACATATAAACAACACTAAAATGGGATAAAACATAATACACAAACGGACGGACGGACGAACGACTCGACATATAAAGTGTGGACAGGTCTTGGCTGCTGTGAACGAATTTCTCGGCAACGAACGGTCAGGTTGTGACGTCGAACTACGACCGACTCACTGATTGAGGACGGGGCTGCTGTAAGGAACACGACTCGGGTGGGCCAGTGATGGCGGACTACTCGCTCAGAGAACTATCGGTGGCTCATGGAAGGGCTGTTCGGAAGACGAACGACGTTGCTGCTCCTCGCGCAGACGATTGCACTACTCGGGTACGATGGGTGGTCACCGGAAAGCGGGTCGCGACTCTTACGTCTAGGTTGCGGGGAGTGCGTGGCCTTGAAGCTCGCGGCTATGGCTGTTCTGAGGGGTTTGTATCAATTTTTTGGTGATAGATGAAGGGTTTTTTTTTTTTAATTTTTGTGATAGATGGAGTTCTTACTCTGTAACCAAGATTTCAGAGATAATGGGAGATTTATTTGCTTTTTTTTTTCCATTTTTTTTCAGTTGAGTGTAAAGGTGTTGGATTGACACGTTTCCTCAAAAATCATGCAAGATTTTAATTTATATATTTGTTGGTTGTTTTTAGAAACTGACATTGGCTTATTTAAATATAATTATACTAATTAGCGGTACGTAATTGTGATGAAAAAAATATGTTCTCGTACAATTGATATTATTTTTATAAGGAAGTGTAGAGGGGGTAAATTTCTCAAGTATATATGACATGAGTGTATTAATCTAACGATAAAAAATTCGGCCACCGGCTATAATCAGCTCTATATTTCTGCATATGGCCGAAATCTCATTTGACTCTACTCGGTATAAATGTTGGTTTTAATTGTTTAAACGTGTATCCAACTACAAAAATGACATTGAAGAGTAGGTTTAGCTTTTAGTTTATCTTCAAATAATTAATGTTAGCATCTACTTTTAAAATCTTTTATTTATTCATACATGCACTATGCAAGTCAAAAGAAAACTCATCAAATGATGATTAATTCATATACCATATATATATATATATATATAGTTTAAGTTAATCAAATGTTTTATTACATTAAAAGTTTTAATAGACATGGATAAAAGTACAGGACTACAACAAAGCATCTTAAATTGACACTTAAGATTGTAATATATCAAAAATTCTATAGAGTTATGAAAAAAATATAAAAATCCGAGAAAACAAATCTATTTAATAGGTGGGGAGAGATCCATGTAAAAGCATAAATATAAACAAGTTTGATGGCAACTTACAAGTGATATCAATTGTCTAACTACACTTCATCCCCCTATATACTAATTGAAAATATGTTGAGCCTAAATGACAGAATCGCACGACCTGAATGTTTAAATAGCGAAACCTCGTCTTTCATAATTTGGTTTGTCTAAACAATACTCGTTTTGGGTCAGATTTGATATTTGACATAAATATATTCATTGCAATTTTGGTAAGTATGCATTTATTTTTGTTAAATTTTCTCTTTCTCTTATCAAATCTAACCATATATAAATTAGTCTCATTTATTTAATTTATTAAATAACCATAATTCTTTTATCATATTTTAAAAGTTAGTAATTTTCTTATTTGAATTTTGTTTTTCAATTACGATTTAGAGTGATGCTACATAGTCACCATCCATTACAACATGGTTTACAACCATGTGTAATGGAAGCATTGAAAAATGTGCATTATTGCATTTTTAATACCTCCATTACACATGATTGTAAACCATGTTGTAATGGAGGGTGGCAAAGTAGCAAAATACTCCGTACAATTTATCAAATTAATCATCTTTTGACATTCATATCACATATACAAATTTAAGATTAATTTTACCTATCTTTGTAGATAAAGAAACCCAACTATTTTTGATAAAGAAATACTCCCTACGATTTTACCTTTGTCTTATAGGGTAGATAAAGAAAACATTTAGTTGTGATATTTTTGAAGGAACCCAACTATTAATTGAACCCAACGTCTTAGAATCTATCGTTCCCATACATTTTCTCACGTGTTGATCTAGCTAGTTCTTTAATTTTGCTTTATTTCCTTTCATTTATTTTCTTAATTTAGTTAATCAATCTCAATTACGGTCGTCTAAATAAAGTTGACACTATAATAATCTTGTACTTGATATATTAATTATTTGGTCTCTTGGGATACGACCTTGCTTGCCACATACTACGAGCGAAGCCGTACACTTGCGGTCGAGCTTTAAAAATATAGGCGAACAAGTTTTTCCATTATAGCAGGATAAGAGGACTTTTAATATCGGGCCCTTGGGATTTAAGTGGGCTGTATCCTTTGAAGCAAACGCAGGATTATTGTGGGATAAAGCAGGATATCCCGCCTTATCTTGGAAAGCAAACGCACACTGAGCGTATACACGTGTGTCTTTTAAATATTTATGTCTCTATAGTTTATTCGTTGTTTGTTGTAAATCCATTTTTATTATTTCAAACTTCTATATATTCAATTTTTTTGTCATCCAATATATTTTTTAAACATTGTACTAATTGATCTTTAATTCCAAAATGAGGAAAAAAGATGAAAAAGAATGGAAATATCCAACAACAATTTTAAATTGATTATTGGGCAGTGTAGGTAGACCGCGAACAGACGATATCGAACTCATTCGATAATTATTTTGTTGAACGAATATTGACATAAATTATTATTTAATTACGAGCAGATAAAAAAGAAAATTAAAAATAAATATCCAAAATATCATTGATTTCCTACTCCTCTGTCTAAAAATTTGTTTTTGTGCGTCTTTCTGCTCAGTTTCTTTGGATTTTCTCCTCTCTTTCAAACCCTCCATTAAAACCGATCTCCATTTTTCTCTCTCAATTGATTCCCTTGTTATAAGGCCGCATTTTTTCAATTTCTTCTTTTGGTTTTTTGAATAAATTCTACGAGCAGGCCGTGGAGATCAGGATCTCCGCCGTGGCTGGGCCGCCGGAAGGAGATGCGGTATCCTCCGGTCGTAATTGCGGCGGTTGAGAGACAAATCCAGCTGAAAACGATCGAGTTGTGCTGAATGAGGGACATAATTCTGGTGTAAATTCTATACAGAAATAATTGAGAAATAAAAGAGAGAATAGAATAGAAGATACATGTGGTTAACGTGCAATGTAGGGAAAACAGCAAGAAAAAAATGAAGAGAGAGAAAGGCATCGACGAAGCTTTGGAGGAGGTAATTTGCACGGCACAGATACCTAGATCTCTTCTGAAATCTCCCTTGCCTTTTGCCGCAATTTATTCCCTTTTGCCAATTTTACATTCTGAGTGATTCTCTCCTTTCCTTCTTCTTATCTCATCTGATTTTTTCAACCAATTTTAAAACCCTTGTGTCATCTTCTCCTACCCCTGCGTGGTTCCATTTCGTTAGAGTAATTTTCCTGCTTTATCTGGTTTTCTGAGTTCCTGGAGATGGCGTTCTAGTTTGGAGGTGAGTTTGTCTTTCAAATTTTTGTGTTGAATTCTTGTGGTATCTCAGTTGTTTGGACTTGGATCTTTCTACGATTTTTATTTTTAGGTCCCAAGGTAGCTACTTTTTTGTTGTCTGACGGTTTCTTCTGTGTGCACGATGATGAATTTAGTTTAATGAACATAATATTGCAGAGAGGGTATTGTCAGGATTTAAGTTTGCTTGATCTGATTTTTTCCTTTTACATTGACGTATTGTTCATTTTGATCTGTCAAGTTTCAACTTTCAACCTTGGGTGTGTGTGTCGGGGAAGGGGGGTGGGGGGTATTGGACTCTGTTAGACCTCCTTTCTATTTTTCTTTTTTTTTTTTTTGTTAGTTTCTTTTTTATACAAATAAATTGGAATTGAGTATAAGTTCATTCCAAATTAATTACCATTTTCAGTTCTAAGATCTTAAATGCAACTGTTATCATAGGACTTTATTTAGACAGAGGTGTTGTTTTAGCACCATCTTTTTGGAGTGAGATAAGCAAATGAAGTCCTATGATAACAGTTGTTTCACTCTAAAATATTATATCTGCGACATTTTTTTAGCTTGTAATCTAAATATATCTGTGACATTGTTTTAGCTTGTTTAGACACTGTGACATTGTTTTAGCTTGTTTAGACATTGTTTAGACAGACATTGTTTTAGCTTGTAATCTAAATGAATTTTCTTTACCAGCACCAAAATATATCTGTGACATTGTTTCTTGTTACACATTCGTTTAGATTACAAGCTTACTTTACTTGCCTTCTTGTTTCTTCAAACGGTTTTCTGTTGCGTATGTGTGTTCTCGTTTCTTTAGTTTTCACACATGTGATCTTGTGAATTTTGTGCGCAGGTTCTCGGGGAGGTGGAATCTTCTTGAACTTTGCAACATAATCGATGTGTTTTTTATTTCATTTAAGTCAAGAACACAGCTTCTTTTGAGAAGACCACCCAGGAGATATCTGAAATTATGAACTCTCGGGGATTTTCTCCATCTTTCTTTTCTGAAGAGGTGTGTTTGTCTGATGAGGTACCCTCCTTTTCTCTGTGTGCTGTTGAACATCTTTAAGAAAAATTTTATATTTTTTCCGTACACATTGCTGTAAAACTGTAGTTACTATTTAATTATTTCTCTGGTTAGTTTGTTCCATTTGATTGATTAACAAGGTTATTTCTTTTATACATTGCAGAGACTGGTTGGTGTAAGGAAGACGGACCACATGACTAGTTACTCTGGTAAGTGGTCAATAGTTTCATGTTACAGGTTGTTCTGGTTAAGCTCATGCACAGCATGCTATGAAAATTTGTAGATGTTTCCGTCCTTTTCAGTTGCATATTTTCCCGTCTTTCAAGCGGTTGGGAGTGAGGCCATTTTCATTAGCCTGATGTATACGTATAGGCTCCATTTATGCTACTATTTCCTCAGAAAAATCACTATAAGTCTATGACATGCCTACTTGATCTGATGGGTTATCTTTTAGAATGACCTGCCTTTTGTTCCTTGAGTTAACTCTGTTTTATTTCCTATGCTCAGATATCTAATTGCACCCCAATGGTACAAATTATTTTTGTTTAAATTTATAGTTGTTATTTATGTCGGTATGCATTGGGTTTATATTTGTCATAGTTACTAGAGTTTATTTCTGAGCCATAATTGCTTTAGTTGGTTGGTAGCAGTAGCCAGTATGGTCAGCTAATAGGAACAAATTGGAGATGCTGAAGCAGATTACTGAAATTATGATATGCATAAATTCAACTAAAACTGTATTAGATACCAGTTATGCCTTTCTTAACTGTATTAGATACCAGTTATACCTTTCAAGAATGAAATGGAAAAGTTAAAACAGATCCGATGAGTGCTGGGAAGGAAACAACTGTGGGAGGTTATATGCAACAACCTGCATTTGATGACTGTTTAAAGAGGACTCTATGCTTACGATCCATGGAATGATAATTTGGCTGTATCTTGGTGATGATGCTTTACTATATGAACTTCTGACTGATATTTTTGTGAGTTGGGGTGACAGTTTTATCAGTTCATATAATAATATGAAAGATGTAGTAAGTCCATTTTTTTCCCGGAATATCATCTTGAGCAATCATTTTTTGGGAGAAAATAACTGTCATGTCAACATAAGACATTTAAATATACTGATGCATTCATCTCAGACAACTGCATAATTTCTATGCCAAATTTCGATGCAACTTGATTTGTGATCAAGCCAAACAAACATGCAATTGAATTAAGTTCTGAAGGCTACACTTTCATGCACTTCTATGCTGAAATTTAATATTCTGTTGCGGTTTTTTATACATTAACAGCACTATAAATATATCATCATGCATTTGATTTAACTTGACATGTTTTAGAGAAAAGTGACAATGTGATTCATTTGGCACCTACAGCCATTTATAATAAATTGATTACTAAGCTGAAGTTTCAACATAATAGCAGTCTCCTGGTTCAAATTCTAGGGCCAGTTACCAGAAAGTTACCTGAAAGCTGGCAGAATTCACTAGTAACGTAGTGGTTCAAACTTGTATTGGCCTCTGTTGATTGTGAATTTTGATGTCGTGGCTGTCTCTGACTGGTTAAAAAGTTGACTCCGTATGGACTTTGTTGCTTCTTCAGTTCAAGTTACACCGATTTCTTAACTTAAAAGCACATGAAAAATGCAATTTGGGTCTGTATCTAGGTTTTTTTGGGTCTTTCTTAAACTCTTCTAAATTTGCAAATAATTGGCAGGTCTAAAACCAGATGGAGTTTTAAGAACAAATGCTGCTTCGTCACCTCTTGAAAACCAAATCCAAGTGGATTCGCGAATGCCAAAGGGTTTTATTCATCCTGACTATTATCTCAATCGTGGTCGAGATGCTAATATATTAGGGAAACAAATTGTTGCAGCAGAAAGAGCAGCCAGCCGATCCTTGCCATGTGCAGTTGACCATGATCTAGGTTCTAGAATTAATTTGAATATGGACTCTGGTTCATATTTTTTCAATGCAGAAAAAGTAAATCTGATGGCTGATCAGTATGAGAATGGTCTTTTTTCAAGTTCAGTGTCGGATTTATTCAGTAGAAAATGTGCGTCCATTTTACACACTTGTCTTAAAGTCATTGAATATCTGAACCATGTCATCATCTGATTACCTTATTCCTTTTCTTCATTCTTACTTCTTGCAGTAAATCTATCTCCAAATGATGCTGCATATGACTCCAGTGCTGCTGCTCTTGCTCCTGCTCCTGCTCCTGCTTCCTCACATTATGAGGAAGAGGAGGCTTTTGAATCACTTAAAGAGCTTGAGGCGCAAACTATTGGTAATCTTCTCCCTGATGATGATGACTTGCTTTCTGGTGTGACAGATGGGTTTAGTAACTCAATTCGACCTGATAATGGGGAAGATATGGAAGATGACTTGTTTAGCAGTGTTGGAGGACTGGAACTTGGGGAAGATGGCTTTTCTCGAAGAAATTATAAACTTTATGATGTTAATTCTATTAATCAAATGGTAATCTCTGTGGGTACCAATGGTGGGGAACACCGGTATGGTGAGCACCCCTCAAGGACGCTTTTTGTCAGAAATATAAATAGCACCGTTGAAGATTCTGAGCTGCAAACCATTTTTGAGGTAAACAGTGACGGCCTTTTGTCACCTCTTGTGATTCAATCATTTTTTTTGCTCTTATTATTGATTTTTTTTTTTTTTTTTTTTTTT